CAATTTCAACTTTGTTACTTTGTGGAAAGAACAAAATTCCAGTTAGATCCAATCAGCTGATTCCATAGTTAGAAACTCAATGGGTTTTGTCTCTGCTACCTTTCCTTCTTTTCAAGATCCCTGCCTCTCTGAAAATGTGAATTGACTTCTCCTTGAGTGATACTTCTCACAGACACTATGGAAATACTTCCTAGTATAACTATTAACTTTGAAATGATGTGTGATGTAATAGTTATAATCCTTCAAAGAGTTATTTCTTCAAATTTCTCTACACTCTAAATGCTGAAAGACTGTGACATAACTCCTACTCTGAGTTTTATTGTCTTGTTTGGAAGCGTGCTGCTGTGGGCTGCCAGTAAGTGGTAATAAATACAATAGGAATAATTTATATTCCACTTAAAAAAAAAGGATAAAAGCAGGTACGGAAAGGTCATGGGTGATGCATAAACTCTGTAAAAATGGAGGTATATCGCTTTTTCTGAAGATGCTCTTTAAGAGCAGATCTGTACTATTCTAATCTGAATGTGGTGAGGCTGGATTTGGGTTATGTTGCTTTCAGGTTTTTATTTTTTATTTAAAGCTTAAATCTAGAAGTATTCAAAGGCTGGGTATCTTACCTTGAACATGTAACATTACAGCTAGTGCAGTTCTTCAGAGTTAAAATTGAGAAGGAAAAGAAACAAGTCTAATTATGTTAGTCTATGGTAACATTACTGCATAAATCAGTGGACATAATACAGCCAGTAAACAACATTGAAAAGAATAAATGTGATGGGAAAGACCATTCTGGACCACTTGTCTATTGAGTTAACATCAGTCAAATCTGGGATTTTGACTTTGATCTGGGATGCCCTTCTTCGTAAGCGTCCTTTTTTATGAAGCCTGTGCCTGTCCAGAGCACTCCTACTGTAGAGGTCTCTGCTGGAAGTGGCTCTTCTGTACTGCAGGTTGGCACTGTCGTACGTGTACGTGGTGGCTCGGGGGTCACGGAGGCTCGTGAATGCATCTGAGCTGCTGACGTCATTTCGTATTTCAAGTGGGCTAAGAAGCATGTTTCCATGGGGATCAACCTGTGTCAAGGAAGGAATGTGAATTAGACAAGTTCCTCAGCCAGCCCAAGGTGTTTCCCAGATGGATGGATACCTTCTGGCTCTACTGCCGAGGTGCTCCTGGGACTGCAGTGACAGTCATGTCTTGTGCAGCATTGACAAAAGTGAAAAGATACTGAGTACACTTTCCTCACTAGTATGAAATTAGCTATTAAACATCTAAGTACCTTCCATCCTGACCTGGCTGGTGGTCTGGGATCTTTTAATTCAGTTAGTTATCCATCTCATCCCCTGTAAAGTAGAACTCTTCTAATTTTATCTTTAACTTAGATCATGGTCTTTATGAAATACTGATTTTTAATTTCTGGTGACCTGGTACCTGAAGCTTTCATGTACTCAAGGGGAAGATAAAATATTGCTGTCTCTGCCCATTTTATACAGTTTAATGGAAATCCCTACTCCCCACAGCATACCATTAACTTACTCATGTGCAGATAGAATAATCCATTTTACTCAATGATACCTTACATTCAGTTGCATTCTTATATGTCAGTATCAGAAGCAGCTGTTTCAATATGTTTATCACTTGCTTTATTTGTGCTGTAAGTTAGTCAAGGCACTCTCTTAAGTACCTAAGCAAAGAACTGGAAACTGCAACCAGTATGCACATATCTGGCACAAACAATTATATATACATATATATAAAATATTTTAATATCATTGCCTTGTTTATGTATGAATGTAATTAACCATGAACGACTGTAAGTTTTTTGGTGTTTCCAGAATGACTCCAGACTTCTCCACAAAGGCCTCCTAGATGTTTCAAATTTCCAGATATTTAAACATCCACTGTAACTCATATGAGGGAAATGCACATCAGGACATAGACCTCTTAAATGAAACTTCAAAGACTTTGCCTTGAGGCTTGACTATTAAAATTGTTTTTTGTAATCTGTGGCATTGGACCTATCCCAAATACATTACAATCTATACCATGGCTGTCTGGGGATGCCTTTGTAACAAGAAAAAAAGAAACTACTTATTGACATATCTAGTCTTGTGAAGCACCGGTGATATGCAATGCTTTGTTTGCACTCAGCTTTACATTTTTAGCAAGACATAGCAGAGCTAGGAAGTGGTATAATAATCCGCAGCAGGTTTGAATTCTGTTCAAGAAAAAACTCCAGGCAGAGCACACGGGGAAATCCAGTCTCTGGGGGTTGCTGCAGGGAAAAGCTGGAAGCCAGAGAAAGCCTTGGTTCCAGACAGCAGTGTGGAAGATGTTCCTTCCCATCACCAGAAGGAGAAAAAGTTACGTGATGACTGCTGGCGTATTTACACTGAGCCAGACTAAGCACTTACTAACTGAAAACAAAGATGTGAAGGGGCTATTTGTACAAAAGCCACCCAGGAGAGCTGTGTGGGGGAAAAAAGTCTTCTAAATGGAGTAATAATTTACCACAGATAGAAAATGCTCTAGTCAGATTTAGCAACTGATTGTGTACATGCTGAAATGAGCATTCAGGGGGAGCATCCCAGTTCCCATCACTGTTTTGGTGGGAAAATCTCATATATTGTGCGTTTGAGAGGTGAGCTGCTCACAGACCAGCATGGTGTTTGCAATCTTTACTTGAGATATGGGCTACCCAGTTTATACTTTTTAGGTGAAGTCTTCAAATTTAAGCAGAAGGAAAATCCAAATTAGGGTTTCTTACTCCCCAGAGGACTGCCATAAATTGCTCCTAAGTTCTGGCATTTTCTGTGAAAAAAAGCAACGATCTCAGTGTCGTCTCCATGTAAAAAGAGATTTTTTTTTTAATTCTCAGAAGTTTTGATAGGTCAACCTTTTCTTCCCAGTTTTATGAAATAGCTCTTTGAGCTGTCTTTGATTACATAATCTAATGTTTAAGCTAATTGACTTCAGTGTTATAATAGTAGTAACGGTAGTGCAAGCATCATTAAGCAGTTATTATGGCTTCTCTTCTGTGAAGACAACTCATAACTGCCTACACTCTGAAGTGATTCATAGGGATGTTTCTTAAACTAATATGCCCTGACTGTTTATTATAAGCCAAGTGGTGTATGAATTCCTGCTTTAAGTGTTATGAATGGGCCTGTTCTATTTTAAAATGAGTTTTATTTAAATCATTTTAGGCAAGATGATTTGTATACAACATGAAGCGACTGAGTCTTTGAATTGCAGTCTTTGCAATTCAGAGCAAAGGGCCTTATGCTGATCTTGAATAAATTAGCTCAGAGAAGTATAAAAGCTCTTCTTATGTACCTGGGACAAATTCTCTGCTCATGCAACATGAAGCTGGACAAATAATTAATTTCTCACGTAGTTAGAAACCCTTTCAGAATTTACTGAAGTTCAGCCCAAAATATTCTTAAGACTTGCGTGGCTGAGGTTTTGTTACTGGAGCATATGAATTCTACAAATTCCCATAGGAATCTGGAAAACATACAAATTGTTAAGGCATCACCCAAAAAGACTTGCTATTAGTTTTGTTTATGTTAATGTTAGAATGAATTAACTGCAGATATGTGCACAGTAAAAGCTGTAAATTTTCTGTCTTAAAATCTTTTCTCCTTTCCTTAATACAAGGTCATCTGAGGCTCGCTGTTAGTCCTGCACTGGAGGAAGCCTGTACGTCAGAAACAGCACAGAGGCTTTAGCTCATTCCACCCTGTGTCTCAGGATGAGGCTCTTTCCTCCACATCAGGTATGTACTGCAATTGTACAGTCTTTAACACATTTGCATCGGATGGCATGACAAAAAATGGGGATGCTGTTTTCTGGCCCACTAACTCTCTGCCTGATTAGTATCTCAGTCCCCTTCTTAGGTAGGAAAGATGAACTGTATCAAACCCAGAGTAGTTCTTCCTTGCTTGGATACAATGCATTTGTTCTTTCAAATACCATCTTGTTAACTGGAATGCCCTAAATTTTATTACCTAAACCGACTAGATGAAAACAGGATTTCTTGCTTAATAGATATTCTGAGCCTAAATATGTGTTTGCACGAACATATACATTTTGCCTTGTTTGCACAATGCATAAATTTTGCCTAAAGTTGTAGAAAGCTGAAGAATTGGTTTTTTTTTGTTTTTGATTTTTTGTCTTTTGAACATATCATGAAGAATATGTGAGGACAATGTCACAGCATCTAAAGCTGACGTGATAGTCATCTGGTATTATTATCAAAGTTTAAATATTCAGATTCATGTATGTGGTGATGCTTCTTGTAATGACATTTGTATCTATATTGAGTGTGTATCTATATTGAGTTTATAGATTTTAAATTCTTTGTTTTCACTGGAACTACTTAAAGCCTAAATCAGCACAGGTACATCTATATGAATCTTCATCAGTGATGGAAAATCCTTGATATGTGCTCAGGAAGCATTTAACAAAGAAATAATAATCTGGCTTGTATGTTTACTTAGAAAATGAGTTTTCTGCTTAGGAGCATCAAATGATATTGTAAATGTAAAATAGTTAAAGTAATAAAAAAAACCCAAAGCAACGGTCTTCTGTAGACCACATAAAAAAATAAAAAAGTAATTAGCTCTCAGGGAAGAGCATGTTGGCATTCCTTGACAGAGGATGGGTCTCAAATGCTTAGGGTTGTCTGGAATGGGTTTTTACCTACCTACTTTTTATATGTTAGCTGTTGGGAGATAAAAGGTAAGAACTTTTGTTTTGTCTCAACACAAAAGTACCTTTTCTTTCTCCTAAGATGAAAGAATCAGGGCCATGGTACTCATGCAAGCTGTCTTGTTGGAAGAAATTCAGATCACAATCTGATCTGCAAAGAAACAGGTTGTGCTTAACAGGGATATACTTATCCAGGTGTGGATTTACTTGAAGGTTTGAGCTAGTTGTGTGGTTATGTGTTACCTCCTTTTTCTCCTTCCAGTAGCCACTGTACTGGAAAATTATGTTTTCCTTGGAGCCTGTGGTTTGAAAGGAAAATGTGATGCTGTGCAGAACCGGGGAGCAAGACACCATCTATCACCTGCCTTGTGTTGCTATTTATAAGCTCCTTGATGGCTCAGCCCCTTTCTCACTCACATTATGACTGCATCCTACCTCTTTCTCATGCTTAAGAGACATCTTCTCTGTAATGATTATTCACATTATAATTGTCTGGGGAAACAGAAGAAGTTGCATGAATGGACTATGTAAATATTTTCTTGCTGGGTGGTTTGTCCTATTTATCCATAATTACGATGGTTTTCTCAGTGACATCTAGCTATGACAAATGGACAAAGAGATATAAACAGTTGTTATGCTTTATTCAGAGAAACAGAAAGCTTGATTACTACAAATTAATATTTTTTTCATATTAAAAATTAAAATGGTATAAAGTTATGAAACTGGAGAAGCTTTATTTCCACCTTCTTCAGTCTGTAGAGCAAGGAACAGCCACATGTGAAACACAGCAGTATGGTTTCATTTTCCATATGGTCTCCTCTATACTGTGTTAATATCACGGTCAGTTTGCTGAGTGTTGCTCACATATCTAATGCTTTTGTTATCTGCTGAAGGAATTTCAATGCTTCTAGTCATGGGCGTTGCATGTCAGATGGGAATGAGCAATATCTTCACCTGGCACAGAGAGAGGAAGCACTGTTATGTATCTTCTATAAGTTATAGGTCCCTGTATGGATAAGTGGTGTGGGTCAATAGTAAAAAGGAAAAAAATATCTTATAGCTGTATATACTTACAGCTATACTTCTTTTGTGCTCAAAAAAACCTTTCCCCTGCTCTGGTACAGACATCATAATACCCGTGAAAAATCTCAAAATATGATGGAGAGGGGCTGGCTGGGACCTGTCTTCACTAGAGATCACATAACCTTACTGTGTCCCACTGCTCCGGTCGTGTGCACCCTTCCTGCCAAAGACAGAAACATGGCTGTTGGACATCAGCATTTCCATACTGAGTAAAATAAATGCTCACAGGGTCCCACATCAATGTATCTCCAGTGGGATAACAAAATCCACTGATATCCATTCACATGTGTGTGTCTATCTGTAACTGCATATATATGTGTATCTAAAGTCACAAACCAGCACTGTACAGGGAGAAAGCAGGCTGTTCACTTAAAGCATTCTCAGTCACATAATGGAATTGTAGTCTGAAGTGTGAACACTTACAAATCCTGGTACAAAGCACGTATGCCTTCCATTTTCTGTCAGAAAAATGCTGGTGTGTACTACATGTGGTACCCTGAAAGTACAAATGTGGTTGTAAATACCTTCCATCCCACTCTGAGTACTGGTCTCAGTGTAACCTTTCCCAGTGTAACTTTTAGACAAAAGCTTTTAGTTGTGAGTTATGGCTTTTTGTTAGTTAAACAAACTCTCCAAATATGTAGGAAAAAAAGCTTACCTGCACTCTTACGCTTTACACTTTCTCATCCTTTACTCAGTTCAGTGCACTGGGGCCCATGAAGCCAAGGATGACTTCTGAAGAAGTGTTGCTTCCCTCTTCATCCTGAACCCTCCTGTGCTTCTCACCTAGGCTGGGTTATCTCAGGAGCTGTTGAGGTGGCTGGTCAGAGTTTGTGGGTTTTGTTGGTTTTTGTCCCTTCCTTATCTTCTGCATAAATGGATAGACAGTGTCTGCACACAGCAATCCATAGTGGAGTGGCTTATTTCCTCTGTTCTGTGGAGGACAGTACTTTGTGGGACCTTGGAGACTGCGGAAAGTCTGAACTGAATCTGTGCACCCACTGCAATAAAGCATCTCCTATGTATAGGGACCAGAGGCAAATGTACTTTTAATGGGCTCATAAGTTTACTGAAACTGAGACACAATGACTCTGTTAATGATGCTTGGCTGTAGTGGTGTGGATTCTGGGACACAAGGCACACAACTCTAGAACTAACAGAGTAACAGTTTAGGAAATGGACTTCCTGACATGTATGTGAAATTGCAGCCATCCATCAAGCCAAAATCTTACCTGTTAGAGTTTTATGTGTTGGTCTCATTCTCCAAGCTGAACAGGAGGCTCAAACACAATTTTGTCCAAATGTTATCACCTCAGGCCACAACAGTACAGAAGTTTATGACAGCTTGAGTAAGATCTCATTAATACTTGGAAGTAATATATTGTAAGTAAAGCAGAGAACAAAAAAAAATTTTTGGCTCATTAGGATATGTATTTTCCTCTGAGTCAGACTGGGCCAAATAGACCTGAAGGAAATGTTTATTTCAGAAAAAATGGGAAAAAATGAAAGAGTTTTATAGAAGTTTGCAAGTATTCAGTCACGTACTGCTAAATTAAGCTTTTCCCTATTAAAAAAAATGTCCATAGTATTACTTCCTTGCGTTTGTCTGGCTTGTTTTTTAAGAAGGGGTAGCTGTGGTCTGACTGAATTTAGCCTGAAGGAAAAATCTGGACAGCTGTGAAAGCTGTTATAACCTAGCAGCATCTTCCTTGCATTACTGGAAGCTCAGTGGTGTGAGCTTCATTCAAGACTCACTAAAGCAATAGTGTCTGTCTTTGTTTATATTTTTTGAGAAGTTTCTGTGTGTAAAGGGGAAATATAAAATAAACATTGTTTCTATACCACCTTCTAGAACAAAGAAATATACAGTTGGAATGGTAAATATTTAACTCCCTTGTACTCCTTACATTTCTTCTGTACTGCAAAGAAATGCTTGTTCTGAATATTCATTTGCATTTTCTGTAGTTTCTTACTCTGTTTTCAGTTGAAGACAGAACAAACCATATGTTGCTTTAATCTCCTTGAAATACAATTTTTCTCTAGACAATCTTAAATACTTTTGCATATGTGTTCAAACTGCATTTATCTCTCTCATCATATAGATCAACATTGTCACAGCAGAAATAACGTTTGAAAAGTTAGCTTGAACATTTTACCTGGACTCTACTTGTTTCCAGTCTGCTCTTCTGACCTGCAGCATGTCCTGCCCTGCCTGCTGCCTTTTTTTGACGTTGGGGTCCTTTCCCAAAGAATATGTAGTTTACAAAGGCATATTCCAGCAAGGCCAGGAACACAAACACAAAGCATCCCATCAGATAAATATCTATTGCCTTGACATAGGGAATCTTTGGCAAGGTCTCCCTGAGGTGGGTGCTGATGGTGGTCATGGTCAGCACAGTTGTGATTCCTGTGAAAGGAAGAAAAAGACATTGACTAACAACACAGGGAGGAGATTTGGGCATGAAATCCATAACGGCAGCGTTGCCCAGCTACCATGCACTTCTCATGCAGATGGATTAATTATGGGATCAGATACTTAACAGCCAAGGGACTGTGCTTTGCAGGACTGGAAAGAAAGATCCTTGCAGGCTTGCTGATAGCACCTTCCTTGGCTTTCCATGCAATGGAAGGTGAATGAAATAGCCTTCATAAGCCCAGGCTATATTGGTAGATCTTGCTTTAATTTTTACAATAACTCTGCTGGGGAACATGGTGTTAGCTGACCCGGATAGCAAAGAGTTGATCACTGTTCTTTCTATGTGAGGAAATCCTTCTCGCTTTATTTACAGCAGTAGCCCTGCTTGATCTCATAGGGTGGCTTGAATTGCTCTGGGGAACTGGAATAAGTATCTAGCTTTTGACTAAAACCAGAGGATTGAAAGGACAAAGGGAAGTTTTGTGATAAAGTGATAGTCTTTGATGAAGAGATATGTATGCCTGTACCAAAACAGCTTTTCCTGTTAAAGGGATCCTTGCAAGTAAAGCATTTCCATCTCGTGTTATCCACCACTGCATGATTCTTTCTTTACTTTTTGTTGTTGTGTGTTTTGTTATAGCTGGATGAAATTTTTAGTCTGTTTTAATCACAGGTCATTAATGCATCTAGATAATAGCTCTAGGCACAGGTGTAATGAGTTGAATTTACAGAGAGGTGGAGCAAATTAGAAGTGGGACAAAATGGCTTTCTGGCATTTAGAATTTGAAAAATGTATTTTTGTTAAAGTGCAGATGGTGGCAGAAGATGTTGGTTCTTCTGGAAAGCTGTTGGAAGGAGCATGGTATGGGAAATAACTGACCACAGGGGTAAAACAGGCTTATTTGGTGTAAGCTGTTATATCTCCATTGATGTCAGTAGGATCTTGAGTATTCATTCCAGCCACGCATGTGGCATGGGAGGACACTTTTTAACATCAATGAAATGTTGATGCAGCACAGTGTAGATACCCTTAGATGCCTGAATTAGACCTTTAAGCTTCAGTTTGGAAGCAAGATACTTTTGGCCTGGTCCAAAGACCATTATGACAACTGGAAGTCAGTCAGGATCCCAACCTAACCATAGAGCAAGAACTTCAGATGTAGGCAAGGTGTCACCTCTCTGCCTTCCTAACAATGAAGATCACAATTAACACTGCTGCAATCAGCCGTATGGATTCGATGCTACTGTATTCAAATGCAACAAGTATCTGTGTGGTTCAGTGATTTTGAAAAGGAAGTTACCTAGTGCAACTCTGGCTGCAGAGGCATCATAATTGATCCAAAAAGATACCCACGACAGAATTGTGATCAGCGTGGAAGGCATATAGGTTTGCAAAATGAAGTATCCAATATTTCTTTTAAGCCGGAAGCTAAGTGATAATCGAGGATATGCTCCTGAAAGAAAGAAGTCATATAATGACTAATGCCTAATAAAAGTTAGACACTGATATTTCTGGGTTGGGGAAGAGGCTTTTTTAACTAGTCAGTGCTTACCTGTTGTAAATTCCACTCTCTTTGATACCATCTTGTAATCAACAATAGAAAATTGTGGGAGCTCGATGTTATTAACTCCTGTTACTGCTGACTCTCCTCCATTCCAGTAAAATTCAATATCATCAGTAGTGTATCCATCTGAAACAGAGGCACAATTTGATTATTGATTTTTCTTTTCGTTTTACTACTTGTCTTAAATAGTTGTGGTTAAAGTGGAAGGAGCTGCCGTTAATCAGGAATTCAGCCTTCTGTTGTGCGACATTTGTGTTATTCAGAAGCCACTTTAGCCTCCTCTGTACCCAGGGGGAAGCTTCTAGGTGTCAAAAGGGAGAAAACAGAAAACAAGAACAGAATTTAAGATTAAAGATCAATCTTTAGCTATCTCTAACACTATTACTATTAATTCAGGCTTGAGTTGGCCAATTTACCAACAGACTGATATAACATCAGTGTTTGAGCACACTCAAACAGTGTGGTTTGAGCCTGGTCTGCAGCCAACCACCCTGCAGCCGCTCACCCACCTTCCCCCCACCCTGGGAGTGGGGGAGGGAATTGTAGGGGTAAAGGGAGACTTGCAGGTTGAGATAGAAACAGTTTAATAACGATAATAAAATTAAAGCAATGGCAGCAATAGAAAATATAAACAGGCAACGCACAATATAATTGCTCACCACCCGCTGACCAATACCCAGCCCGTTCCCTGCTAGCCATCCCAAAATACCAAGATCCTGCAATCGCAATCCCAGAAGTGAGAGAGTGAGAGAGAAGAGAGAGAGAGACCCTTCCCGACCTCCCCTCCTCTATATAGTGAGCATGACGTTCCATGATATGGAATATTTCATCAGCTAATTTGGGTCTGGTGCTCTGGCCGTGCTCCCTCCCTGCTTCCTGTGCCCTTGTGCACGGGCAGGACACGAGGAGTTGGAGATTCCTTGAAATCTCAGTAGCAGCTGAAAACACAGCACTATTCTAGTTACCAAAAAAGAACATTAACTCTTTTCCAGACCAAACCAGGACAATCAACAAAATTTTTAAACTGTTTAGGAGGAGCTCTGACAGTAAAACCAGGCTCCGTTCCCAGGTTTGCATTTGATTTCCTATGCAGGCTGTCACAAAATACAATTTGGAGCCAGTGGAAGCAAAGATGATTCTAGAAGAAGTCAGGTGCCTGTACCTGACAATGCCTGTCAGAGCTGTAGGTATCCCTTTGATATTCATGCAGCATTTTATATTTTAAGTAGATGATGCAGTCTTTGATCGTCTGTTATCATAGGACTATTTCCTTTTGACTTTAAAACTAACATGTTTCTTCTCTTTCCTTTTCACAGCAATGTTTATAATTTAATTAAAAATTAATTTGCCATTGGGAATGTTAACATTATTGTTACCGTTTTCAAAACCATTTTGATTAAACTCAAAAATGACTGAGTATCAAAAAAAACCCTCATAATTTATGACATTTTTGAACTAATACTTAAACTGGTTCCAATTTACTGCATTTTACTACTTTCTCCAGATATCTACCAAAGGAGAGAACAACATCTTATCTATTTTTAGACTTTTCCTTCAGGTGTTGTATTTAATCAGGTTTAAATCACATAACACAGATCAAATAAAAACATGTGTTTGAACTCAAAGCTTTAGAAAACTTGATAGTAGTTTTGCCAGCTGAACCAACCGTAGCATCAGAAGCCTCTACAGAGTTAGAACTTACCCTTTCATATGCACCGGTAATGCAGTTTCTAGCTAGGGAAATTATTCTTGAGATGCCTTTTCCTATAATGGTGTCTGGTAACAGCCTCATCTCTGGAAGGCTGACCACATGCAGACCGGGTCCATAGTTTCCCTGGTGACAATCAGAGAAGCTCTCACAACTTGCTGCCAGGCTCAGGGGACTGCTTGGAAAGTCTGCAGTTATTGAACAGATACCTTTTGATGCAAACACACAGTGACAGGCTGAACAAGGTTAAGTGTTCACATATCTTATTTGTGAACTGCTCAGTGCCATGGTTTGTGAACTATCTGAATTGCTCCTGAAGCTGTACTAACCTGTGTAATATGGATCGCTGCTGTTTGCTTAAAACTGTGTTTCCCATTACTTATGCTAACTTTTTTTTTTAAATGTACCATCGCAGGGCTGTCACACAAGGCACTCTGAATGGCTGGTTTTAGTTCCTTCCAGGTAGAAGCCAAAAGCTTTTCACTGCAAAAGGTCAAGGTAGCTGCTTGGTAGAGGGACTTCAGTAGCCGCTTTAAAAGCATTGCACACAAACCATGGCGCCAACATGAGCCACACGTAGGGTGTAATACAGAATGATTGAAGGAGGGAAGGAAGACTGCTAAATCAGTTTAGAAGGCCAAGACTAAGATTGTAATGGAAGTTTTAACTTCATTTTCTTTCAAATCTATATTATAAAAAATATCTCTTGAACGTTTTCCCTGTTTAAAAAAGATGGCACAAACCAGAAGAAATGGTAAACTGTCATCTCATACTGAAAGGGTATTGATCATGTGTAGACTCAATACCACACAGATATCCTCTACATGAGGTAACACTCATAGCTATTTCTTTGGCTTTAGGGGCTAGAATAAAAGACAAAGGTGCATCACTACCTAAATGTTGCACAGGTACTTGCTGCAAAGTCACAGGTGAAGGTTTAGATGTGAGAATCCTGGGTTCTGCTTCAGGGTTTGGAAGAAAATGGTGAACCTGATTCTTCTGTTCTGTGCCATCATCACCTGGGGCCATTCTCACACCCCTCCCTCCAATTTTGCTCCGATTGTGCTGCTTCCTTGGCTGATGCACATGGGCTGGGACCCAGGGCAGAGAAAGGAGCGGTCTCCAGTCCTCAGCAAGTCCTGAGTTTATTTGCAGTTTCCTTAGGCAGCCTCTGCCAGCCTCTCTGTAGTTCCTCTGCCTTCTTGACAAAAGAGGGAATAGTTTGGGCACCTTATTACAGATAAAATTCCCTTCCCCAAAGGTGCAATACTGTAGATTTAGTTCTTAAAACCACAATGGTACCAAATGAAGACCTGGGATATCACAGGGCAGATTTCAAAAAGAAAACAGGCACAACTTCCTACAAAAGGGTTGCACACGTACAGTGTGTGGTGATGCTGGACCTTCTCAAAACCAGGTTACAGGAATTTTATAATGTAGGCAAATGTGATTTTCACTAGAATTGAAAAGATTTCTTTGACTTTGGTTACTAAATGAAAAGTAGAACTACAAGGTTATAGAGTCAACTGAGCAAAAGCAAGAACCTTGCATGGAACATTTCAGCTGATGAGAAGCCATCGCTGCTGGCAGGCCGTCTTTAACCTTTACAAATCTAAAAAAGACTTCAAAATGCTACAGAAATACTACTAGTGTGTGCTACCACTGTTTCTAATACGTTGATTTGTTCCTTGAATTTACTCTGGTTAAAAGTGGGGGAAATGATGAGAAAGGGGTAGTGATGTTTTTCAGTCAGAAGCATTCATATTTATTAACTCTCTTAGAAGAGTAATTGAGCAGGAACATTATCCTATGGTTTTATATAGAGAGAACCTCAGTACAATCATGATTTCCTTGACAGTCATTGTAATAACTCTGCTAGACACTAACAAGGTGTAAACTCTCACCAGGCAGTCCATTCCCTGATGCGAGATGATTTTTGTTGTGTGATGCCCTTCATTATGTGCTTTGCACATTGTTTTAGGTGTGTGAGAGGCATTGCTTTTATGGCTGACTATGACTCACAGGTGCAGGGCTTGGAGGCTTTCATCTTCCGCAGGCATTCACATTGTTTTTTGCTTTCCAAACTAGCAAACTCGAGAGGAACACTGTTGGCTGTGGTTTAAAAACTGGAACTGATCTCAGCTCTGAACAGTTAGCAGAGGACAGATCACTCCCTCTTTTTGAAGTGCATAGTGCCTTCAAGTGAGGAGCAGTAGTGATGTAAATTAGGAAACATTCAGTGTGAGGCTGCACTAGCTTCTGGCTAGCAGGCAATGATAAACTCTCATTTCTGGCAGCAGATGCCTTTAACATTTACAATGGAAGAAAAGCTGTTTCAGTGATAGAAAAAGTGGGTCTAGTCTGTACAGTGGCCAGCTCTAACATGCTGATCTGTTCACTAAACTTATCTGTACTTCCCAGGTATTCCCTCAGCAGCTTTTTTTCTGTGTGATCTTTTTCCCTCCGCGTACATATCCGTGTCACTGCTTTAAAGGGATGCCTCTGCTTTTGTGACAGAGAGCAGTGCTTAAAACTGGACATTCATGTCTGAACACAGATTTCATAGAAGCCAAATACTGGGAACCTGAAATATTTCAATTACGTTCGAGAGTGGGTGTGACTTTAACTACAGATGTCTAGAATTACTTCCCCAAACAGTTAAGACCGTAACATTAACGACATTTAGCTGATTTAATACCATGAGTTAATCTCATTCAATTATGCCTGTTCCCTAAAAATCAGAATTGGCTTCTGCGTGCAGGACCTGCCTGTGGCCGAGGTCCACCGCCGCTCCCAGGGCACGCATGGGCGGCTCGGAGGGGCCGCGGGTGGGTAGTGGGCTCCCCCAGCGCCGCCTGTCCCCACGCCAGCGCGGCCCAGCAGCGGCCCAGCAGCGGCCCAGCGCGGCCCAGCAGCGGCCCAGCAGCGGCCCAGCAGCGGCCCAGCGCGGCCCAGCAGCGGCCCAGCAGCGGCCCAGCGCGGCCCAGCAGCGGCCACGGGATGGCGCCCACGCTCCGCGGCGGCGGCCGGTCCGGAGCGCTGCCCACAGTCCCCAGCCCGCTGCCGCCGCCGGCCGCCCCGCGTCGGGCCTCGGCCCCGGGGCCAGCGTGGCTCGCCGGGCCCCAGACGTGGTGTCCCGGAGGGGTTACGCCTGTTCCCGAATCTAGCCGGGCAGCAGTTGGTACCCGTTAGAGGAGAGACCCCGGAGCACGATGTGCGCCGGGTTGCTTAATGTAAGCGGCTGTGTTTAATGGGCGGACTTCACACGGAGGCTGCGTTGGGGTTTAGATGTATTTGCTCGGTGTTTGTGGAGCAAACGTGGCCTGATTTCTGGGCTGACATCCCTAGCAGTCTAGCCCACTTAATGAAACAATTTTCCCAGGATTTCTGTGTGTGATTTTGTTGACCTAAATAAATT